ACTGTTGCAGAATAAGTAAATAAATAAAATATATCTAGAACTTTTAGTCACTTCCCATTTCTTAGAGTCTAAATCCGCCTTAAGAATAGCTCCAGCCTCGTTTCAACACATCCATTGGAAACCTTCTGTGATTACCCAGACTACTTGTGTTCCTGGCGCACACCCCCGTGCTCCTGTGCCCACTCCCCTCATCCTGGAAGATGCAGCTGCAGGGCCTCTCGCAGCTATTCTCAGCCTGCCTTCTTCTCATCCCAGCTTCTCCCCCAACTCCTTGGGCAGATCTGGGCCCGCTTCCTAGTTTTCACAGCTGTAGTTATTCTGCTTCTAAGCAGAAGCCTCTGTAAGGGCAGGAGTCCCCCTCATCTCACCACACCACTGTGTCTCAGAGCAATATGGGCTCAGAAATTATTTAAGTGGTGTTTACTGAAACCTGGAAATCTAACTTCTGGTGGAGGCTTAAGAATAGGCTTGTAAAATCCAGGGCATTTTGTATTTCTTTCCAGGAAGTGCCTGTCTTTCCAAAGCTCCTACTGGCTTGTCCTTATGTTGAGCCTGCTGGCCTCCCATTTCTCAGTGAAGCCAGCCATGTTTTATTGGGAATTTCTGCACAACCGATCAATTTCCATGACTAATGAGATGCGAGACACCTGCTTAGTTTTGTTCTTGGGTTTACTTTTTTAAGCATTTTGTCTTCTGTGAACTGTGGCATAGGATATGTTTTGAGATACGTAATTTGTATTTTGGTCACCTGACTGTCAGACTTGAGGGAAAGGTAGTAAAACTGTCCCACAGGCAGGCCTGCCTCTCTTGGAAATACACTTTTTAGCCCTCTGTGAACTGGGAGACAGCATGGTCTGTGGGGAGGGCTTGCTATGGGGGCTCTCTCCTGTCCTCCCCAGTTACTCATGGCAGGACACTTGGGCAGGCTCTGAAGCCTTTTGCAGCCTTAGTTGGCCCACCTGTAAAATGGTGTCTAGTAAATTGAGAATAGTTCATATGATAAACTTTTAAAATAGTACCTGGAACCCAGTAGGCTTTCAAAGGCCTATTTACCTCAGATCCTTTTACTATCTCCAAACAACCTGCCCGTTTTCTCCCTCTCTGGGAAAAAAGCTAAATTTGTGACTCTTATTAATCTCATACAACTGCCAGATTATACTAGACAAGGGAATTAGTAAATTTTGTTTCTAACAGTTCAAAAAACCTGAAATTCATGTGGGGATTTTAGTGGTTGCTGCATGTGTCTATTCCAATTATATATCCTGAAACTGGGGAAATACCCGCAGTTGTGGGTGGGGTTGGGGGCCCACTGTGAGTTGGACCTGAGCTAAAACTCCATGGATCACCTGCCCTGCATTAGTCCTGTTCTGACTGGTGGGCCACAGTGACACTTTGGTTCTTTGGGAATTAGTGTCTTTGTGGAACGAGTGTTCGGTACTCCCCTAAAGTTTGATTACTTTCCCTTCTTCAGTGCACAGTCATCCTGGAAAATGACTGCAGGTTAATCTGGGGAGTCCAGAAGACTGAGTAAGAAATCTAGTCCCCCGACCTCAAAACATCTGCAGAATGTGCCAGCATTTCTTACGGTTAAGTGGAAAAGTTAAGCCATAGATTGCCAACTGGCTATACCTGGTATAATTAATAAAAACTAAAATAAAAATAAGGAACTAGTGCCTTGGCTGGTCAGAAGAGGGAGGTTACTGGGAAATCAGGTGAGTATAAGATAGATTGGCATTGCAGCTAGCCTTAAGGTGCACATTTCATTTGTACCTGCAGAGATTGTGGGGGCAGAGGGCCTAGGTGGAGGGATGACTTCAAATGGGAGTAGCCTGGTCTACCTAGAACATGGGTTTCAGCTGTTCCAGCCCAGGAAGTATGATGTCTTAGATAGAATCATCTACTTTCGTTCTCTAATTCTTTTGCCTAACATCTAAAAACTTACTTGTATGTCCTATACCACTGGGATTATTGAAATCGGTGGCTTCCAAGGATTTGGTTGTGGTTGGGTGGAAATGATGATGCTAGTGCGGGTCAGTGGATCATTTCCCCAAAAAGATCTTAGATTCTGCAAAATGTAGTTCATACCTGACTTAATTCACAGTACTCATGTGGTAGAGGTGTCATTCTGTCATTTGATAGATCTAAAGACTGAAGCACCAAAAAGACTGAAGCTCAGAGAGGTTCAGGGACTTGCCCAGGGTCCTGCCTGTCTTTTCATCACACTTCTATCTCCCTATATTTTCTGTGGAAGAAAGAATCCACCCAGTGAAGCAGTGGGCAGAGTTGGGGTCTCAACCCAAACTGCTTGTTTCCTGGTCTGTGTTTTTCCTGTTACCTCACCAAGTGCCTCGCATCGTCCACGTCCTCCTTCCATCTGGTCGTAGGTAGCTGAAACCCCCGTTAGACAGTCTGCTTGGAGTAAAGGACTAGAATTTCTCCTGGGCAGCTAGGAGTTTGTGCGTGAAAGCACACACTGCAGCTTCTCATGAAATAAGTCCAGGGGCCCTTCCTGTGCAAAGAATTACTTTTCTTTTGAGACAGAGTCTTGCTTTGTCGCCAGACTGGAGTGCAGTGGCACGATCTGCTCACTACAACCTCCACCTCCCAGGTTCAAGCAGTTCTCTTGTCTCAGCCTCCTGAGTAGCTGGGACTATAGGCGCCTGCTACCATGCCCGGCTAGTTTTTTTTGTATTTATTAGAAACAGGGTTTCACCATGTTGGCCAGGATGGTCTCGATCTCCCGACCTCCCAAAGTGCTGGGATTACAGGCATGAACCACCACACTCGGCCAAAGAAGTACTTTTGAGGCCAGGTGCTATTGAGAAGCTGGGACTCCTGAGGCCACTGCACCTGGCCTCAAACGTACTTATTTTGGAAGGACTTTGGGAAGCCAAGGTGGGAGGACCACTTGAGCCCAGGAGTTGGAGACTCTGGAGAGCTATGGTTGCACCGGCACTCCGGCCTGGGTGACAGCGAGACCATAACTTGCAAAAACAATAACAACACTTTTTTTATCTGGGACAGATAGCTGTGCTCCCAGTTTTCCATTCTGTCATACCCACTGATGCTGGATGTGATTCTGAGAATACTTCTTCCTGTCCAGAATTTGCCTCTCAACAAAACAGCCCCTGCTGTAGCATCTCCGGTCTGACTCCTTCTTCAGGGCAGCTCCTCAGTGCAGGGGTCCCATCTCACCCAACCACTCACAAACCTTGAGTTCTTTTTTTTTACCCTTTTTTCTTTTCCTGGATTCTCATAACCTGGACTTAGATTATAGTCTGTTTTGCAGACTTGTTTTCTTTTTCCTTGGGTTGCCATAGTTACTAACTTTGTATATAAAATAAGCATCATTCCTCATCCTTTATTCTCCCACCAGAAGTTTCCCTGTTTTCTGATATGGCCTTTGCAAAAGGAATTGGGTGGCGTTTTCATCTTTTCCTTCCTGGTCCTACCTCTAGTACACATTTCTTGCTCTCCTTTTTCTGGGTCTTTACGCTGGCATCTGGATTGACTTGGGCTTCCGATTGATGTTTCATTTTGCAGTGTTTTTACATAGAGGGCCTCTGCCCATGACCTAGATAGAGGATTATGAGAGGGGAAACAAGTGATTTGGAAAGAACGAAAAACATCTGCCCTAAACTGGTTCTACCTGCATTACCTTGGTTATGAGCAACAGAAGCAAATAAATTATATAATTACAAGGGAAGTGAGGTCTATCCCATTGTGATCAAAAACCTAAAGCTTTTGTTTTGTACATCACATCATCTTGGCTGAACCTAGAACTCTCAGATCACTGGCTTTAGTAGACCGTGTGCCTGGTAATTTCAGGGCTGTTTGGGTTAGCAGAATCTCACTCAGATCACTGGTTTCCTTTATAATAGAGTCAACAACTAGTAAAAGGAACCCTCTGCCAGAAGCTGTCTGAGGAAGTGCAGTCATTTTTGGTAGGATGGACACTCCATACTGGGGCCAGAGAGAGGACTTCTCTTCAGGTTCTGGCTCAGTTACAACTGACCTTGTGACTACCCAGAGCAAGCCAGCATGTTTGCAGGCCCCGCCCCTCTCCTCATCAGTAAGATAAAACATCTCCCTTCTTAGACTTAAGCTTCGGGGACAATTGTAGTCTTCGAATAACTTCCACATAAAGGTTCACTGAACCATCAGTTGCTTTATGAAAAATACTGAGATTTGCTTGGAGATGTTGGTCACCAGCTTCCAACTTGTGGAGTTTCAAGCCCACACAATTTAATTCTATCTTGTACATCTACTTCAGACTCCACTGTTCCCACCAGACTTCCTGTTTATACCTTTCTGGTGTTTTTGTCCCTGTGTTCATCCATTCCATCTTTCAGCCTAGACTTACCTTCCTGCTCCCCCACTTATCTATTGCCTGCGTTTTACAGGGTAAGTTCAGTCCTGCCCACTTTGACACGTGCTTTCAGATCTGGTGGCTCCTGACCACCTTCACTGTTTGTAGGAGTTGACCCTCATGCAGATGTACAGCTTTTGATGGTTGCTGCTGTGGATACCTGTCATCGCTTTGAAACTAAACCTCATAGAGACGGGGGCATGTTACATACCTAACCTGTCGTAGGCATATGTTGGGCTTGCAGAAAATATTGATGGATTGGGGTGTGCCTCTGAAATAAAGGAAATTGTAGTTCCATTCTAGGTACACTAACAAGAATCCTTATACGAGTCAGGAAAAAAGAGAGGGACGGTCTTTTGCTCAGTGTGGAGTAACAATGATACTGGAAGCAACAGACCCGTGACAGCCTTCTTGCGTGCTTTCCCTTATCCCATCTACCCAGCAGTCCTGGAAGGGGTGGGTGGTATGGCACTGTCTGTGAGCAGTAAGGGACTTGGTGCCAGTTGTGCAGGTCCTCTTGGAGCAATTGTTTGTCACCAGTGTCACTCTTGAATACACTGCATCCTTTAGTTCAAAAGAAGCATGACTGTGTCCATCTTACTCAAGCTCCTTCCTATCTTCTTTGATTTAGGGGAAAGGATCCTGGGTTATGCTGAAGAGCCCTGCTATCTCTGGTTTGTCATGGAGTTCTGTGAAGGTGGAGACCTGAATCAGTATGTCTTGTCCCGGAGGCCGGACCCAGCCACCAACAAAAGTTTCATGCTGCAGCTCACGAGCGCCATTGCCTTCTTGCACAAAAACCATATTGTGCACAGAGACCTAAAGCCGGACAACATCCTCATCACAGAGCGGTCTGGCACCCCCATCCTCAAGGTGGCTGACTTTGGACTAAGCAAGGTCTGTGCTGGTCTGGCACCCCGAGGCAAAGAGGGCAATCATGACAACAAAAATGTGAATGTGAATAAGTACTGGCTGTCCTCAGCCTGCGGCTCAGACTTCTACATGGCTCCTGAAGTCTGGGAAGGACACTACACAGCCAAGGCGGACATCTTTGCCCTGGGCATTATCATCTGGGCAATGATAGAAAGAATCACTTTTATTGACTCTGAGACCAAGAAGGAGCTCCTGGGGACCTACATTAAACAGGGGACTGAGATCGTCCCTGTTGGTGAGGCGCTGCTAGAAAACCCAAAGATGGAGTTGCACATCCCCCAGAAACGCAGGACTTCCATGTCTGAGGGGATCAAGCAGCTCTTGAAAGATATGTTAGCTGCTAACCCACAGGACCGGCCTGATGCCTTTGAACTTGAAACCAGAATGGACCAGGTCACATGTGCTGCTTAAAATTCAGGGCTAAGCATTTTGGGTGATTTTAAACAAGGTGAGTGCTCTTTGTTGTTGTTTTTTGTTTTTTGAAGACATGGTCTCTCTCTGTTGCCCAGGCTAGAGTGCAGTGGCACGATCGTGGCTCACTGCAACTTCTGCCTACCGGATTCAAGTGATTCTCATGCCTCAGCCACCTGGATAGCTGGGATTACAGAGCGCCACCACGCCCAGCTAATTTTTATATTTTTAGTGAAGACGGGATTTCACCTTGCTGGCCAGGTTGGTCTCGAACTTCTGACCTCAAGTGATCTGCCAGTTTCAGCTTCCCGAAGTGCTGGGATTACAGGCGTGAGCCACCATGCCCAGCCTCTCTTTTTGTTCTGTATGCACATTTCCTGGAGTGGGTTCTTCATCCCGGACCCCGGGTTAGGCCCTGTGGAGTTGGGGGGAAATACAAGGTTAAAGAAAACCAAGTGCTGCTTATCAAAGATTCCCCCGCCCATATCTTGATGAGGAGAAATGTGAAATTATCTGAGTACAAGTTGGAAAGCTTAAAGAAGTCTTCTGAGAGGAGATTGCATTTAAGCTGTATCTCCTTTTTTTTAGAAATACTTTTTCTCATCATTCTAAATGCTCACGGTAGAAAATGTGCCTAAGAGGTAGACAGTTTTTCAGAAAGTGAACACTATCTCTAATTGTAGTATCCCGCCTACTCACACATCTCGTTCTACATAGTTTAGATCTTGCTCTAGTTGGTCGAGGTCTTTTTCTTTTTACTCATTACAAATTGGAGCATTCCTCCATGTCACACTGTAAAAGTATGGTTTTCAGTGACGGTGTGACATTCCCATTATATGTGCCATAATTTAGCCATTCTCCTCCTTTAGAAAATAGATTTTTTCCATTTTAGATACTATAAGGAATGTATTAGTGAATACTTATGTAGAAATCTTTGCTTATTTAAAAAATTTATTGTGAGCTTTCCTTTGTCAAGTATAGTCATGCTCCGTATGAGCAACATTTTGGACAAGAAGGAATGGCATGTGTCACGTGGTCCCATGAGATTATAATGGAACTGAAAAGTTCCCGTTACCTAGTGATGTAGCTGTGGTCATGTTATAGTGCATATTGTGGCGCAGTGTGTTACCTTTTCTGTGTTTAGACACAAAAAAGCTTCCCACTGTGTTACAACGGCCTATAGTATTCAGTACAGTAGCATGCTGTACAGAATTGTAGCCCAGGAACAGTGGGCCATACATGTCTCTGTGTAGTAGGCCACACCACCTAGGTTTGTGTGAGTACACTCGACGTTACACAGCAGTCTCCTAATGACTCATTTTTCAGAAATCATTAAGCAGCCTGTGATTGAGCGACCCATGACTGTACTGTGCTAGGCTCTGGGGTGACATGATGAACAAAGTCAGAGACTTTCCCCATCTTCATTAATTCTGCATCTTAATTAGGGAGAGAAACTCCAAGTTGAACTTGGTTTCATGTGTAGTATTTTCAGTGATGGTATTTCTACCGTCATTGGTAGTCACTAAGACTAATTCTTCCAATCGTAATTGTTGTATAGTTGTTTAAAGTGAAGAGAGAGTCAGGGAAATTGGCCTTTCAGGTGTTTATGCACAGAGTCAAGAGGAGGGAATTGTGGGTGAGGGAACATCCCAGACAGATGGACTAACTAACCTCTGCAAAGGACCTGAAACCAGAGGGGGAACCTGGCACATTTGAGGGACTAGACCAATTTGGGTAAATGAGGAATGTAGACATGTGGAAATGAGAGAAGACAGGGAACAGTGTAGACAGAAATTGAGCTGGAAAACGCGAAGGTGTATTTATAGGAACAGCAGAATAGTTCAGTTGGACTGAAGTTTGATGTGTGCGTAAGAGAAATAAGATGAAAAAATTGACTGGCATATACGCTAGGTAGTTTCTTACATACTATTTTGTTTCACCTTTACAATCTTGCAAAGGATTGAGTAACTTACCCCAGATCCTCCTAAGTTCAGGACGGGTATATCTTATTCAAGCATCCCTACCCCATCCCCTTCTCCTTTAATATCAAAATGGTAAGCTAGAAGTAAGCTGCTCTTACATTGTGCTGGAGCCTTGACGAGGTGATGGAGTTAGTGCTGAACTTAGTTGTCACAAGGAGCCTCAGGAGCCGTAAGGCACGGAGCTTTCCGTCACTTGGGTGAGTTCCCTTCCTTTCCCTTCATTATCCTCTGGTTTCTAGGTGGAGTCAGCTTATACAAAGTTGAGCTTGGGTTCTTGTGTAGTGTTCTCAGTGAATGTATTTCTGGAGCCAGTCACTTAGGTTTAATTCTTTCATTCCACAAACATGTATTCCAGGTGCTGGGCCAATTGGCCCTACCACCCACCGGGTAGGAGTATAGCATTACCCAAAGCTGGATTTAGGGTTAGGCTATATTAGAAGCCAAAAGGGTCAGCTAGACAGTCTTTTACATGTATTTTGTGCTGTCACTTCCCATTTTCACCTCATCCTTTCTGCTTTTGAAAGACCTCTGAAAAATTCAGATTTGCTCTCATGGAGGAAGGTTGTCATTAGAAGAGGGACCTGCATTTGGTTTAGGATTATGGGGCTGTCATAACTAATTGAGATCAGGGCCTCCATTTGGATATCCACACTTGAGATTTGTGCTGTTTTTCAGGGCAAAGTTTTGGCTAAACAGGAGTGATTCCTTCATCTAGGAAAAATAAGTGACCTTGAGAAGAGGAGAAAAGATTTAGGAATATGGTTACTTGTGAGTGTCCTAGGCTGTTTTGCAGCCCTTACAGCTAATCTTTACAGTACTGGTGGTGCCAATTTGACCGTAGCCTGTCCTGCCCTGTCTTAGGTGGGCACTTAGAACTGTGGGCCCGGGCCCAGGTCTGTGACCAGAACCAACCCCTGTGTTGCCAAAAGCTTCAAATCAGTTGTGTGGATGAGCCATATCTAGCTGGTCAGAGACTCTGAGGCTTGAGTTGGGAAGAACATTGAGTCTGACCTCCCTTTCCCCTGCCAAGTTTTGTAGATGGGCAAGCTAATTTCATTTATTTGTTGAACATGTTCTTTGGAAACTATTTCCAAGTACCATTTTAGACATGGATAATACATCAGTGAACAAAACAGACACATTTTTGCAGTGTGGCGCTTAACGTTCTATTGGGAAGACAGACAGTAACCATAGGTAATGTACAAGAAAGTACCCGGTGCTGGGTGCGGGAAGAGGGCAGGGTGGGAAGAATGTAGAGCAGGGTAGGGGAGATCTGAAGGTTAGGAGGCAGGGAGGGGTGGGGTTGCACTTTTAAATGGCAGAGGTCAGAGTGGGTCTCCTTTGAGCAAATGTAAGGAGGAGTTGAGGGAGAGAGTCCCAAGGATTTCTGGGGAAAGAGCATCTCAGGCTGAGGTATTGGCCACTGAAGGTCCTGGAAGTTGGCTAGAGTGAACAAGGGGTGTATAGGAAGAGAAAGATAACCAGGAGCCGAGTAGAGTAGGGCCCATAAGCCTCTGTGGAGATTTTGGCTTGTGATTTTGGATGAGGTGGAAAGCCATGGGTATGTTTTCAGCTGTGTGATAGCTGTACTTTTGAAATGATCACTTTGCATCTTGAAATAAACAGTGGGGGATAAGATGGAAGGCTGTTGTTGTAATCCAGGTGAGAGATGATGATGGCTTGAAACAATGGAGCAAAGAAGTGATTAATTGGATTTGGGGTGTTTTTTGAAGTCAGAGCCAGCAGGATTTCTGGCTAGATCATATATGAGGTATGAGAGAAAGGAATTAAGCATCACTCCAAGGTTTCAGCCTAAGTGATTGGAAGAATAGAGTTGCCATGAAATAAGATGGAGAAGTCATTGGGAGGAATAGGTTTGGCAGGAGAAAGTGAGGTTTTAGTTATCTGAAAGTGTGGTGTGCCTATTTAGAATCTAACTACAGATGTAGAGTAGGCAGTTGGATGAGTCTGGAGTTCAAGGGAGGAGTCCAGCCTAGAGATACAAATTTAGAGATTGCCACAGTACTGGAGTGGGGGTAGACAAGAGGTCAGAGGACTGAGCTCCTGGTGGTGCAACACTGAGGGTGGGAAGAAAGAAAGGAGCCAGAGACGGGGGAAAGGACAGCAAGAGGAGGAGGGAGCCTGCTGTGGCATCATATGCTAGTTGATTGAGTGAGAGGAATTGGCCATTGGATTTGGTAAATGGGAAAGCATCAGTATTCATGAACAATTTTGGTGGAGTAATGGGGGAACCTGTAACTAGGGTGGATTTGATAAGAGTAGAGGAGAGGAATTGGAGACAGTGAAACAATACATCAGGGGTTCTCCAAGTTTTTGGTCTGAAGCCTCTTTACATTCTTGAATTTACGGACTCCAAAGAACTTTTGTTTTGGGTTATATCTGTGAATGTTTGTAATATTAAAAATTAAAATAGGCCGGATGTGGTGGCTCATGCCTCGTAATCCTAGCACTTTGGGGAGCTGAGGGCGGGCAGATCGTTTGAGCTCAGGAGTTTGGAACCAACCTGGGCAACGTGGTGAAACTTGGTCTCTACTAAAAATACAAAAATTAGCCAGGTGTAGTGGCACGCACCATAGGCTTAGTACTCGGGAGGCTGAGGCACAGGAATCGCTTGAACCAGGGAGGCAGAGGTTGCAGTGAACCAAGATCACACCATTGCACTCTAGCCTGATGACAGAGAAGGACCCTGTCTTTAGGGGGGAAAAAAAACCTCTAGTTGCGTAAGTAAACACACTTGACCCTTATATACCACCATGATGAAAAAACATCTCGGTGTTTTAGGATTGTAGATTTCAGAGTCACTTTTAAGTCAGGGCTAACTAGTTTTAGTTTTTTGCAAAAACAAAAGGAAATGCACTTGGGGTTAGGAACCTGGGATTCCCCTGAAAGAAGTGTTGTCTAGTGACAGTGCAGGGATTGAGTCTCATTTCTGTGTTTTCCTGACTGTGGCCTTAGGCAAATTATTCCACCTATCAGGGCCTCAATTTTATTATGTACAAATGGAGTTGATCCTATATATCTTATTGAGGTGGT